CCGCCAGCAGCAGCGAGGGGCTGTGCCCCGCCCGAGACTCCCGCCCACCCTGAGATCCGCCCCTCCCCCCCAGCACCTCTTCCAGGAAGCCTTCCAGGCTTATTCCAGCCCCCCAGAGTCTTCTGAGCTCAAAGCATTTACTGCCAAGACTATTAATTGGGCACTTACACGTGTAATTATTTAATTACGTGCATCCTGCTGTCTGTCACGTTGTTATGTAACTTTGTATATAAATTCTGTTTCCCGGGCTTAATTTTAAGTTTCCTGAGAGTGGGAACTGTATCTTTTTATTCTACATATTTTCTCATGGCACTTGATATTAGTGGATGTATTAATGAATGAGTGAATTTCTTCACTTTGGGGCCTATTAAATTCTAGGCTCACGTCTACAGTTCCAGCTGAAATGTTGGGTGGGGTGGGAGGGTGGGGTTTGGGTGTGTGTATGCGGTGTATGTGTGTACATAAACCGGTCACAGATAGGGTATTTTTGTTTTGTTTGCTTCTTACTTTTTTTTATATTAAGTTTTTTACATCGTTGTTCATTTTGAGACAGTATTTGAATTGATTTCTCCCCCAGGAGTAGCCCCTACATTCTCCCACCACCATCTCCACAGCCCCTTATTCTCTTCCCTCCCCTGTGGTGACTGACTCTCCTCCCTCCCTGCGATGTCTCACTTCTATGGTCAGCTTGCAAGTTTTGTTTTTATCCTGACCATTTCGTTCAAAATCTCTATATTCCACACATAAGTGAAACCACCTGATATTTTTTTTTTCTGTCTGATTAATTTCACTATACATAATCCCTTTCAGCTCCATATATGTTGCCTCAAATGACATGACTTTATCTTTTTGGATCACTGAGTGGTATTTCATTTTGTATATGCACTACATCTTCTTGAGCTTCTCATCTGTTTTGAGGCATTTGGGTTGTTTCCATATTTTGGCTCTGGTAAATAGCACTGCAATAAATATAGGAGTGCAAGTTTCCTTTCATATTAGTGTTTTCTTTTTTTAAAAGATTTATTTACTTATGCATGTAAGAATTAGGGTACTGGCCAGAGGTGCAGGGGGTGACATGATTCCAGAGACAGAGTGGGGAACAGAACAGGCAGATTGACTAAGTGGGCCAGGCAGGAAAGGTCTGCTACTCCCTGTGGGTCACCTCTCTGGCCTGCCAAGAGTTTAATAGCATTGTCTTTAACCCCTGCACCACCAGGGAGGCTCTCAGATTAGTGTTGTTATGTCCTTTGAGTAGATTCCTAGCAGCTAATTGTAGGGCCATATGGTAGATCTATTTTTAGTGTTTTGAAAAATCTCCACACATAGATAGGTCTTCTTTTTCTTAAGTTTTCCTTTATTTGTTTATTTATACAAGAACTGGAGTGTAGGCTAGAGGTGGGGTATGATGAGAGCACTCACCAGAGACAGAGCGGGGAGCAGAACAGGAAGATCTCTGAAATACACTCCTGAGGGGAGCAGCAGGTGAGACAGGAGAGGTCTGCTGTGCCATGTGGGTCAGCTCCCTGGCCGGGCATAGAACTCAGCTGCAGCACAGCAACAGCTTGATAGCACTAAGTCTTTAACCCCTGCACGGGCTAGGAAGGTCCCACATACAGATAGGTTTTGATGAGCCCACAGAGTGTTGTTGTTTTTTTTTTTTTTTAAGATTTATTTATTCATACAGAACTGAGGTGCAGGCCAGAGGCTCAGGGGCAGTGAGAGGCTTCACCAGAGACAGAGTGGGGAGCAGAACAGGCAGATCAATGAAGTACACTGCTGAGGGGAGCAGCAGGCAGGTCTACCGTGCCATGTGGGTCACCTTTGGGGTGGGGATTGAACTCGTGCTGAGTGGCGTTAGCTTCTTAGCTTTACATTTTAACCCACTGCACCACCAGGGAGGGCCCCACAGTGTATTTTCAAGGTGATGCACCCTCAATTTCTTTCAGCCCTTCTTCAGACCCAGTCACTGAGATCTCAGATCTGCTCTCTGAACTTTTCTGCTCAAATACTCCCTTAAGGAACTGTGAAAAACTATGTACCACCCAACCACACACACACACTACTAAGTCAACACCAAACATTTCTAATCATAAGTTTAAATATTGGAATGAGTATATTTTTTAAGTAACAGAGGGAATATATTATCATATAGCCTTTGCAATTCATTAAACTCTTCAATAAACGAACAATTCCTTTAGCCAATCAGTAAATTTACCTGTTCTTTTTTTTTGAGTTTATTTTTCTTTATTTAGTCTACTTTCACTGTAGTTTGTTGACTTCAAACAAACAACAACAAAAAAACAACAAAATGGAAAAGAACACACACACAAAAATGGCTGTTTGGAAAGTGCAGTGTCAGCCTCTCCCTGGTGGCTCAACAGGTTAAAGCACCGCATTATGAAGCTCTCCGAAGCCACTGCAGCACCAATTCATTCCTCAGCCAGGGAGCTGACCCACAAGGCGCAGCAGACCTCTCCTGACCCACCCACTGCTCCCCTCAGAGTGTACTTCGTCAATCTGCTTGTTCTGCTCCCCACTCTGTCTCTGGTGAATCCTCTCACCCACCACACCTCTAGCCTGTACCCCAGTTCTGTATGCATAAATAAATAAACCTTAAAAAAAAAAAGTAAAGTGCAGTGTCATGGAGAGACACTGCTGCATTCCCTAGAATTAGAGCCATCAACCCTGGGGAGCTGAGATGACCCTCCTTCCTTTCGCTGGGCCTGGGAAGTAGCATCACTTCCTGTAGGGATGCAAGGCATAGTGGGTACTGTAGTTTGATGTTACACACATGTGGGCGCTCTCCTGGCCTCTTGAACTCACTTGAATGAGATTTTTGTATATTAATTTCCACAAGTTTCATCTCAATAAAATATTTTTTCACCATATCACTTTTTTTGTATTTTATTGTATTTTTTTGGAAATTGATTTATTGTCTATCTCTGCAACTATATATACTATGTGTAAATTTATATTTTCTGTGTCCATAAGACTTTTTTTAAATTTTTTTTTAAAGATTTATTTATTTGTGCATACAGAGCTGGGGATCAGGCCAGAGATGCAGGGGCGGTGAGAGGATTCACCAGAGGCTGAGTGGGAACAGAACAGGCCGACTGTGGAAGAGTACTGCTGAGGGGAGCAGCGGGCGGGTCAGGAGAGGTCTGCTGCGCCATGTGGGTCACCTCTGGGGCAGGAATCAAACTCATGCTGAAGTGGCTTTAGCTTCTTAGTGCTGTGCTTTAACTTGCTGCGCCACCAGGGAGGGCCGGAATAACTGTTTTTCACACTTAAAAGTCTTATGGGGGCCCTCCCTGGTGGCCAGCGGGTTAAAGCACAGCACTAAGAAGCTAAAGCCACTTCAGCATGAGTTCGATCCCCGCCTGCCCCAGAGGTGACCACATGGTGTGGCAGACCTCTCCTGACCCACCCGCTGCTCCCCTCAACAGTGTACTTCGTCGATCTGCCTGTTCTGTTCCCCCTCTGTCACTGGTGAAGCCTCTCACCACCCCTGAGCCTCTGGCCTGTACCCCAGTTCTGTATGCACAAATAAATAAATCTTTAAAAAAAAAAAAAGTCTTATGGGGGCCCTCTCTGGTGGCACAGCAGGTTAAAGCACAGCACTAAGAAGCTAAAGCCACTTCAGCATGAGTTCGATCCCCGCCTGCCCCAGAGGTGACCACATGGTGCGGCAGTCCTTTCCTGGCCTGCCCGCTGTTCCCCTCAGCAGTGTACTTTGTCAGTCAGCTTGTTCTTCTTCCCACTCTGCCTCTGGTAAATCCTCTCACAGCCCCTGCTCATCTGGCCTGTAAATAAATCTTAAAAAAAAAAAAAAAAAAAACAGTTATTCCACAGTGGGTTATAATTACAATGATCACAAAACACAATTGATCAAAACAACAAATATCCACAATGATTGAATAGAAAAACAAATGCTCTTTGAAAATACATTTCTTAGGGCCTGCCTGGTGGTGCAAGGGTTAAAGGCAGCACTATCAAACTACCCCCAGCCACTGCAACTTGAACTCCATCTCTGACAGACAAGGGAAGTGACTCATGGCTCAGCAGAGCTCTCTTGTCTCACTGATGCTCCCCTCAGCAGTGTGTTTCAGTCATTCTATTTGTTCTGCTCCCTACTCTGTCTTTGTCTCTGGTGAATCTTCTCATACCTCAGCCAAGCCTCTGGCCTGTACCCCTGTTCTACATAAATAAATAAATCTTAATAAATAAATAAATAAATAAGGGCCCTCCCTGGAGACACAACATGTTGCTACAGCCACCTTAGCACTAGTTCGATCCCAGGCCAGGCAGCTGACCCACATGGCCCAGCAGACCTCTCCTGTCTTACCCATCCAGCTATTCCCCTCAGCAGTTTATTTCAGTGGATTCACCTGTTCTGCTCCCCACTCTGCCTCTGATTAATACCCTCATCCCCTTCACCTCTAGCCTAGACCATAGTGCTTGTATGCATAAATAAAATAAAATAAATCTTAAAAACAAAATTAAGAAAACATGGTTTTTATTTTTCCATTTGATGGAAGCACCATCGTTTCCTGACACTTCCCGCTTCCAACCACCAGGTGGAAGCAGAGAACACAGTGTCACCAGCTCCAGCCCTGCCCCCAGATGGGGAAGAAGAGCTGTGAGGGGAGAGGACTGAAATTGAGGTAGGGGTGTAGCTGAGGCTGCAAGAGAAAAAAAGAGGGAAAGTGAGGGGACTAAACACAGATCTCAAGAGGTGACAGAAAATATTGAGAACAAAAAAAAAATTGAAGGAACAAGAAAGGGAATTCAAGGGGCCAAACTGGGAGGAAGTCAGGGGAATCTGGGGAGCAGAATGGGCTCAGGTGCGCTCTGCCTGGACACAGGGGGAGGGGGTTTGGGGGGGTAGGGGGTTGGGGAGGTCCCCTGCTATCTGTACTCTTCCCGGGGTGGGTCAATGTCTGGCTCCTCCTGAGGTCTGTGGTCCATCTCAGGGGCCGGTGGCCAGGGGTTTTCTGGAGGCTGAGGTCCTGCAGGCCAGGGGTCATCAGGCCGGGGAGGCTGAGGAGGAGTGGTTGTGGGGGGCTCAGGAGGCCAGACTGCAGGCTCAGGCAGGTCTCTCCAGGGACGATTGAGGCCTGGAGGTGGAGGGTCCTCAAAGAGAGGGGGTGCCCCTGGCCAGGGGTCACCAGGGATTGGGGGGCCCTGAGGCAATGTGGGGGAGCCCTCCTCACTGGCCTCTGTGGGTGGAGGAGAGGGGTGGTCTCCACTGGCTGAGATCCCTGTAGAGGAGGAAGGAGAAAAGTGAGAGGGGGCCCTTGCAATTGCCCATCCCCCTCAGTGACAGACCCAAGGACCACCTCCCTGCCATGGCCACAGCCCAAGCTGACCCCACAAGCTCATCTCTCAAAGAGGTCTCCACACATTTACAGACTGCCTAAGTGACCGTAAAATCCCATGAAAACCCAGTCCTGAACCGAGCAGGATCAGCTTTAAACTGATAGGACCCCTCCCCCCAGTTAGCTCCACCCAACACTGGTCGGGACTCCCCGCTAGCATGGTCCCTAAAATGGTCCTCGCCGGGACCCCAAGTGGCCCCATCCCTAGCCGAGATCCACTCTCCTTAACGCGGTCTGATGAATCCTCCAGGCACAGCCAAGGCCTGATCTAACCCCGTGTGGAGCTACACCCAAGCCGGCACAGGTTCAGTCTGAGCTAAAGCACTTTTCCGCAGAGCATGCAACCCGCAGCTCTCCGGCCAGTAAATCCTCAGGCTCTTCTCCAGCCCTGTGCATCCAGCTCACCCTCAGCCTCACCTCATCTTGACCCCCCCTTGTGACCCCAAATTGCACTCTTGGCCCCCATTTCCAGCTCACCTCCTGTGCACAGGCAAAGGGCCAGGACCCCCAGCAGCTTCCAGTTGAGCATCATGGCTGTCTCTTGCCCCCAAAGCCAGGGGTGGGCTGAGTCTGGATGCCTGGGAAACTCCAGGAGGCTTTATAGGGGAAGAGGGAGAGGAGGAGGCCACCCTCTGGGGAGGGGCCTGCCCAGTGACACAAGGATTTCCATCAGGACGTAACTTGTCCAACTCGTTTGGAAGGCCATGCTGATGTGTAACCGCTGCTGGTGGCGTCCCTCATTTTAGTCAGCCAGCCCAGGACCCAGGCACCCACTCTGTGAATGATCTAGACCTTGGTCACCCCACCTGTTTTCCTGTCCCCTCCACACACACCCTGCATCAATCAATACCCACGTGTCATCTCTCTAATCACAGGGGTTTCCACCTTTCATCCCTCGAAGTCATTAGAAGCCAAGGAATGGGAGCAGGCCTTGCGTTGGGAAGCAGCGTAATTACAGGGGCCAGGAGGCAGGACGCAGGGGAAAGGGGTGAATGGGGAGGAAGGGTTGATTCCTTTGAACAGCTGGGATGCAGCCAGGAACGTCTCAGGAAGTATCCCAAGCTCCCCACACACTGCAGGGAAGGGGCTACTTTCTTCCTCAAACCTGCTCCAGGACCCAGAAGACGGCTGTCCTACACAGCATCTCCTGGCATGCAGACAGAGGGCTTCCCACACAGTGACCTCCAGGAACGTCATGGGAGAGCCACCTGAGGTGCTTGCAAATGAGGAAGGAAACCTGCACGGTTTGACCCCTTCTCCCCAGGCTGACTCCATCCCGTCCAGAGGCTCAGGAAGACGCTGCCTCAGCTCCCCATCCAGTTAAGTTCTTCCTTCTTCCTCTGCAATCTTCTCTGTGTGACTCCTCCCCTGCTCCTGGATTTGCCACCACCACCCTCCCCTCATCCTTCAGGGGTCAGTCTGTCTTTTGTTCAAGTCCTTTAGGGAACCCCCAAATTTCTTCCAGGACTCCTCTGTCTGATCTCTCAGATGTATGCAAAATAGATGTTACTTCTGCCCCAGGCTGTTCCTTGCTGTTCTGCTTCCTCTGACTGTCCCTCTCAGTCCCCCACCTTCTTAATAGGCCTCCATTCTCCCACACTTCATCCCTCCCCCACACCCACACCCTCCCCCCAGCAGCCAGCACATGTCTGAAAAATGCAAGCCCAATGGTGCGGCTGTCTCCCTGTTATTAGTAATGCTCCAAGGGCTCTCTATGCACTTAGAATTAAGTCCAAACTTGGCCAGGCCTTGGCCTCTGCAGCCTCCTCCCTCCCCATTTGCTCCGTCTCACTCAGGTCTAGAACAACGTCCTCTCCTGAGAAGACCCTGTCCTGAAACCGGGCCCACATCAGTCTCCTCTATCCCATCACGGCCATATATATTTTCTTCACAGCACTGGTTCCAGACGCACCTGCGAGTTCACTTAGGCACTTGCCACGGACGGAAGCACCTGGGGGCAAGGGCTGGCCTGCTCCCCTCTCTTGGATGAGTGACTACTGTACCTTCCTCACTCCCAGCGCTGATCATCTTATAGAGTTTTAAGACAAAAACTAAGAAGAAAGCCTGAAGTTCCTCAAAAGATTTTTCCTAAGCAGTCTAGGAATGGGATCTAGAAAAGAAACCATTTGGAGAAAGAGCTTTGTGCGGGCCCACTTCTGGGAAGAGATGGCTAGGGGGCAAATGCCCTCATTATTATACCCAGAGAAAACGAGGCCAAACAGTGGCTGCTTCTGTATCACCTTTATTGAGCCACAGAGTTCAAACACACCTCACACTTTGGTGTCTGGTGTCTGGAGGGCAGCCAGCTGGAGAAGAGGGCCAGGCTGACCCCTGACCCCAGCCCACTTCTCCATGACCCTCCGGCCCCTTGGGCCACCCTTGAGCACTCTGCTCAGCCGTAGACAGGAGCCAGAGAGTCCCGGGTGTCTCCTTGAGAAATGGCTTCCTCTTTGGAAATGACCTCACTCAGGTCCTGCAGGTCATCAAGCAGAACAGAGAGGGACCCTAGGAGAGAAGACCCCAACAGATTGGAGCCACACAGAAGAATGTCACGGTTACCGTGCAGGGAACAGGGTTTCCCTGAGGTGGACGTTCTAAGAGCAGGTTCCCCAGTCCAAGGCAGTGTGGCTGCGAGGCAGGGTGCCCCAGAGTCACCAGACAGCGCCTCCCTCCGAGTCCAGGAGTGCCTGGAGCAGAGGTCTGGAAAGCCACCCTTTACCTTTTATGGACTCCCTGGTGGGGAGAACCGTTGCTGGAGGTGCGGGCGCTGACCACCCTGGGGGCTTGGGGCTGGGCTCCACAGGTGTCCCCTTATCCAGCAGGGAGGGAATAACGGCCAACAGCCGCTGCTGCTTGTAACGGGAGAGGAGACCCTCCTGCTGCAAGGTGGCCTGGGAAGGAGAGGGTTAAACGCCACCGGCTGGGCAGAGCCTCCCCTTCCCTCTCGCTCCCTGCTCCCACTGGTCAAGAGGTCTGGTTCCTGGGCCAGCACCCCTACCAGCATGATGTTCTTGTCCTTCTCTAACTCCTGCACGCGCTGGGCCAGCCGCAGCCCCTCCTCCTTCCGGGCCTCCTCCTGCAGGCGCCTCAACTCCTGGTTCCGCTCCTTCTCCCGGGTGGCTTTGCGCTGCATCTGGCGCAGGGACACCACTGCGAGGAAGCCAGGGCAGAGGGGACTGGCGCAGGAAGCCACTTACCCTCTGTGCCTCTCAGTCTCTTCTACTACTGGGGGTAGAGGGGTCAGGGGAGTGGCTCGTGTTCCAGGATCCTGAGTCAGAGAACCCAGGCACCTTCCCCATCCTTGGACCTTCCTGGCCCAAGGGGCCAGGGGAAATCTGAATATGCACTGGACATTAGGTTTTGTGTAGTTAATGTTCATTTTCTTTTTTTTTTTAATTTTATTTATGTATGTTTACAGAACTGGGGTACAGGTCAGAGATGTGGTGGGTGGTAGGATTCACCAGAGACAGAGTGGGGAGAACAGGCAGGTTACTGAAACACACTACTGAGGGGAGCAGTGGGAGGGTCAGATGAGGTCTGCCGCACCATGTGGGTCAGCTCCCTGGTGAGGGATCGAACTCATGCTGCAGTGGCTGGTGAGAGCTTCATAATGCATGCTTTAACCGGTTGCGATTCCAGGGAGAGCCCCCTTTTTTTTTTTAAGATTTAATTATTTATACATAGATCTGGGTCATAGGTTAGAGATGAGGGGGTGATTCACTAGAGATGAGCTGGGAGCAGAACACCGAAACACTGCTGAGGGGAGCAGCGGGCGAGACAGGAGAGATCTATGGGCCAGGTCAGCTCCCTGGCTGGACTCAAACTCAGGCTGTAGGGGTGGCAGCAGTGAGATTTAACCCCAAGGCCACCAGAGAGACCCAATGTCCATTTTCTTCAAGTCTGATAATGGTATTGAGGTTATATAGATTAAAAAAATTTCCCCTTTGTGGGAGACACAGCTAAACATTCATATGTGCAACCTTAACTGATTCAAAAAAATGTATATATAGTGTATGTACAGAGAAACAACAAATGTGGCAAAAATTAACTGCTGGGAGCCCGCCTGGTGGCACAGTGGGTTAAAGCACAGCACTGGGAAGCTAACCTCAAATCCCCGGCCAGGGAGCTGACCCACATGGCGAGGCAGACCTCTCCTGACCCGCCCGCTGCTCCCCTCAGCAGATTTGTCAATCTGCCTGTTCTGCTCCCCACTCTGACTTTGGTGAGTCCTCTCACCACCTCTGCACCTCTGACCTGTTCTTGTATGCATAAATAAATTTCATTTTTAAATAAATTTATTATATCGTCTTTATTACACCTAGAACATGTAACTTGTCTAGGTGTTTAGAATTTCTCTTACTAAAGTCAGGGCGGGGGTTGTCATGAGATGTCAATTTGGCTGCTGGAGGCCTCTTGGGAGTGACTGGGAGGAGCTGGCCATGTGGGGTGCTGGCTCTCCATCTGTGAATCACCTGCGCTCATTCCTCGGTAGCTTTGTTACCTGCATACTGCCAGAGACCCTTCCCGGAAGCTCACGCCCACCCTGGCAAACCTTACCAGCCTTGGCGTGCTCCCGTCGAGCATCATTCAGCCTCCTTTCTGTCTCCAAGAGCTGTTCCCGTAGCCGATTTTCCACTTCAGTCACCTTTTCTTGCAGGGCTGAGGTGAAGGTGCAGATACCGCGTGTCTCAGAGACCTGGGGGGTGGCTCCCACCCCTTCCAGGAGAGGCCCGTGCCCTCCCGGACACCTTGCCCTCCCGCACACCTTGCCCTCCCGCACACCTTGCCCGTAGATTTCCTGCTGCTGGGTCAGCTCCTGCCGGAGACTGGCAGCCTCCTCTGTGCTCTCCTGCTGGCCCTGGCGAGCTGCTTCCAACTGCAGCCCCACGCTGGCGAGGGACTCCTGGGTGCGCTGCAGTTCCTGCTCCAGCTGCCTGGCCACCTCACTCAGCTTCAGCCGCTCAGCCTCCCCTGGGAAGAGACGGTGCTCACCAGGCCGCTACCCCCCAGCGCAGCCTGCTCTTCATCGCCCTGGCTCCCCTCCCCAGCTTGGATGTGCCCACTGGCCCGTCAGGCTCAGGTGCACCTTGCTCCCGGGCCCGGCCCACTTCCTGCTGGATGACATGGGCACTCAGCTGCAGTTCTGCATCCAGGCGGTTCCGCTCTTCCCGCAACTGCTCCAACTCGAGGCTCACATCTAAGGTGGGTGGTGGGGGTGGGCGGCTGAGGCAAAGAAGGGAAACAAGGTTGGCAGGAACTACCCTGGGGCTTGACCCTAAGCACCCTCTCTCTGTGCTCAGCACTGTTTGGGGTCCCAGCAACCAGCACCTTAGCGCCCACCCCTCTCTCCCGATCCACCTCAAAGAGCCCAGTGTCACCTGTCCCTCTCCTGGCGCAGCTGAGCAAGGGTCAGTTTTCGAGCCATCAGGCCTGGGGGAGAAAAGGCAGACACTGACGGTTGAGTTGGTGGAGGAGAAAGGGGAGACAAAGAAAAGGCGTGTGGACCGCAGGACAGGCAGGAGGGCGGATGAGAGCGCAGTGGGGCCAGGCAGTCTGGCAGCGCCCTACCCACCCTGAATGGTGTGGACTTTGCGGACGGCGTAGCTGACTCGGTTGTTGAGGCTGGGCAGCCGCGCAGTGGCCAGTTCCACCTCGGCCATGGTGTTCTGGAGCCAGGTCTGAAAGCTGGAGAAGGCACAAGGTCACTAGAGAAAGCAGGAAGTGGAAATCGGGGTGGGGAGAGAAGCTGAAGCCAAGGGCGGGAACCCCAACTTTGCTGGTCGAGTCCAAGTCATAGCTGATGAAAGAAAACCTGAGCATTTAAGTCCTTAAGTGATTGTCAGATAAAGCAATCCAGTTTCTCAGAAGAAAAGCACAGCTTAAAAATCTTAAGAAAAAAAAATTTTTTTTAAGAACAAAAAGCGATTTGGGGTCCCAAAACCTACAGTAAGTATCTCATCTAGTCCTGCAGTAAAAGCAACAGTGAACTTCATGGGATTTTGCTGCTCTGGTCCCAGATGCCACAACACAGCAAAGTGCTCAGAAAGATAACTCTGCTGGTACTAACGCAAGCCTGGAAAGCTGGGTGGCGTCCAGCTGAATCCACCTTTTCACCTGTAGGCCCCTGGACATACCTCCGGATTTGGGGCTCTCCGAGACCAGACACCGTGTTTAAAGCATAAGAACTTAAGTGAAGCCCTCCCTGGTGGCACAGCAGGTTAAAGCACTTCACTAAGACGCTAAAGCCACTTCTGCATGAGTTCGATCCCCGCCTCCCCCAGAGGTGACCCACATGGCAAGGCAGAGCTCTCCTGACCCGCCCACTGTTCCCTAGGGCAGTATGCTTTGTCAGTGGCCTGTTCTGCTCCCCACTCTTGTGAGTCCTCTCACTGCCCCTGCACCTCTGGCCTGTACCCCAGCTCCGTATGCATAAATAAATAAATCTTTAAAAAAAAAAAAAACGAACTTAAGTGAGTTTTTCTATGGAACAAAGCTCAGCGCTTCCATCAGTTTTCCAAGGCATTAAATGGCTGCAATTTTTCAGGCAACCCAAGCTGGTTTCTCAGTTTTGGTCAGTTATTCACAACAGAGCAAAGTTACCCTAACAATTCCCTGACATCAGTGCAGGCCAGGTCGAGCTGCCCCACCATGGTTCACAAAAGCTCAGAAGTCTAACAGGCCCTGGGAAGAGACTCGGGGAGCATGGGGGGCAGGGTTGGAAGTCCCCAGGAGAGTCCAGTGTGCATTAACAGGCTACAGAAGGCTGGAAAGTGCCTCCCCGGAGGCACAGCAAAGGTCACTGTCTGCAGGCTGACTGTGTAGGTGCCCCAGCACCGTCTGCGGTTCTTTTGAAAGCCATTTTCTACTAAGATCTCCAAGCCATCTAGAGAACATTGAACAAACCTGGCAAAAGTCCTTGGGCTGGGGCCCTCCCTGGTGGCACAACGGGTTAAAGTGCAGCACTTCAAAGCTAGCCACAGCCACCTGAGCGCAAGTTCAATCCCCACCCCAGAGCTGACCCACGTGGCCCAGCAGCCCCCTCCTATCTCGCCTGCTGCTCCCCTCAGCAGTGTACTTCGTCGATCTGCCTGTTCTGCTCCCCACTGCGTCTCTGGTGAATCCTCTCACTGCCCCTGCACCTCTGGCCTGTACCCCAGCTCCGTATGCATAAATAAATAAATCTTTAAAAAAAAAAAAAAGAACAAATAAATAAATCTTATTTTTAAAGTATATATATATATACTAAAGCACTATATATATATATTTAATATATATATTAAAGCACTATATATATATAAAGTGCTTGGGCTGTTAGCAATGCCTCACTCGCAAGGACCATTTCTGAGGTCCTGATACAAAAATAAAACCTGTCCACAGCATCTGTCTGCTCTCCTGGAGGAGGAGCACTCTGATGGTGGAATCTGGGTGAGGGTCCCTCATTAACATTAGCCAGTCTCTGTAATCCTATTCATATCTGGAATTTTTCAGAATGTTTTTAAGGTAAAATGAGTCCCTAGGGCATAAATCCAACAGAAGGGGGTGGTGGCATTAGGTTTGTTAAACCAGTAACTGTTATACGACCCACCAAGAACCTCACGTGACAGTAAACATTTCCAGACTTCAGGCCAGGCACTGTGCTAGGAGATCTCCAGGGGCCCCCACTGGAACCCCCAGGTCCAAGGCTGAGGAGAGGTTGTTACTTGTGTTTCTCCTTACAGCTCTTTTTAATTACCTTTAAAAGATTTATTTTATTTATTTAAGCATACAAGAGCTGGGGTGTAGGCCAGAGGTGTGGGGGGTGAGAGGAGTCAGAGGCAGAGTGGGGAGCAGAACAGCCAGGTCTACTGAATTCTAGGGGAACAGCAGGTGAGACAGAAAGTCTGCTGTGCCATGTGGGTCAGCTCCCTGGCCGGGGATCGAACTCATGCTGAGGTGGCTAGAAATAACACTGAGACTTTAACCCTGCACCACCACGGATACCCGTACAGCCCTCTTTAAAGGTGATGAACCAGTAGTTGGGACGGAAACACCCAGACATATGGTATGAGAGACGTGGGCTTGCAACTGGTCAAAAAAGAAACTGACATACATTCAGATGGGCCATCTAGTAAGCCAGTATAGCTTTAAGTAAATACACTGAATTTAAAGTAAATTTAATCAAATAAAATACAGGGTATGACTGTAAATTTGCAAAGACAGATCAAGTATCTACACTCCCTGGTCCCGGAACAACTCTAGAACTACAGGTCTCCCAGGTGTGTTCTGAGCAACCTCAAGTTGCTGTGAAGCAAACTGCAGGAGGAAGTGTTGCCTCGCCAGCAGCCAGGTGACCCTGATGTGGATGCTGCGGGAACAGGAAAAAAGCACACAACTTAACAGGGCTAACCACGTCTAGCCTTGCACCTTCCAGCCGCCAGCTCCACATCCCTCTTGCCTGAGGCGCGCCAACTCTGGGCTGGAGCTGGGAAAGAAAAAACACTGCTCCACCCACCTGCTGACAGCGTCAGCCACAAGCTTCAACTGCTGCTCTGCCTCAGCTTTCTGCTGCTTTCGCTGGCGTCCGACCTCCTGAACTCGGTTCAGCTCCATCTGCAAGGCCTGGGGAGGATGTGATGAAGAAAGCATCCCCTCCCGGGGACCCCAAGGCCTCCCCCTCAGTGTGTCAGGCACTGACCTTGGCGCCCACGCGCTCCACCTCCACCTCCGCAGCTCTGTCCTGCAGGGAGCGCTGCAGGATGGCCTGCTCCTGGCTCTGAGCGGTTGCTCTTTCCTGGAGCTCTGCCACCTAAGGAGGAGAGAGGGCTGGACAGGGCAGGCCCAGACCTGGGGAGACTGGTAGAGGGGTACTGTAATGGAGAGAGAAGTACGGATGCCTCTAGAAGCCCATGTGGGGTTCCTGATGATGGCGTCTGCATCCAGATTCCCTTCCAGAAGTATGTTTCATGCCCAGTATCTTGCTGGAGTTCACAAGCCACCGACCTCTGGCCACGTCACCCATCCTTGGAAGCTGTCACCTCCTCAGGTCATTCCTGACCATCTTCCTCAGGCTGGCCCACCCCCAGCCTTTCTGTCACATTGTTTTATGCTTCTTTCAGGACATATCAGTTACCCAGCACTATCAGTTAAGCTTGCCTCACGTCTCTGCTCCACAAGAACAGGTCCTTATCTTGGTCCAGGGAATGTCCCCAGCACACAGTAACCACTCAAGAACTATCTGGGGGCCTCCCTGGAGGTGCAAGGGTTAAGTCTCAGCTCTATGAAGCTATCCACAGTCACTGCAGCACAAGTTCAATCCCTGTCCAGGGAGATGACCACATGGCACAGCAGACCTCTCCTGTTTCCCCGCTGCTCCCTCACCCGTGTATTTCAGTCAGTGCAAGTGGATTCACTACATTCTGGACTCAGTGAATTCAGAACCTCATGGTGCAGCTGAAGACCATGCATCTAGATTCACCCCACTCTGTCTCTGTTGAATCCCCTCAGTCCCACTTACCCCTACCCCTCTGGCCTATGCCCCAGCTCTTATATACATAAATAAATCTTTTTTTTTTTTTTTTTAAGATTTATTTATTTGTGCATACAGAACTGGGTACAGGCCAGAGGCTCAGGGGCTGTGAGAGGCTTCACCAGAGACAGAGTGGGGAACAGAACAGACAGATCAGGCAGATCGACTGCTGACGGGAGCAGCAGGCGGGTCAGGAGAGGTCTGCCACACCATGTGGTCACCTCCGGGGCAGGTGGGAATTGAACTCATGCGGAAGCGGCTTTAGATTCTCAGTGCTGTGCTCTAACCCGCAGCGCCACCAGGGAGGGCCATAAATAAATCTTTTAAAAAAAAAAACAACTATGCAGTGAAGAAATGCCACCCTAGGGAAGAAGCGGGGAGCTGTGGGAATGGGAAGAGCATCAGTGACCTGTCCTTTCAGTTGCTCCATGCATGTTTTGTGCTCCAGCTCCTGGGACTTCAGCTGCACCATGAGGGTAAACACCTTCTCCCGCCAGCCCTTCAGCAGAGACTGGCACTTCCTGGTGAACTCAGGCTCCAGGCATTCTGAAGACTGAACCTGCAGGGTGGAGAAAGGTGGCAAAACTGTGGGCTCTTGGGGGCAAAAGGAGCTGACGTCTTGGCCTTCCCTCTGTACCCTTTTGTAGGGGAAGTGATGCTCAGGCTTTGGCGCCACTGGCCTCCGTGTTATCACCTGCGGCCTTGGATGTAGGAGGCACTCGGGAGCCTGGGCTCGGGGCACGCCTGCCTGACGGAGGGGCCTGGAGTCTGGTGTGGGCGTGCGTGAGCGTGAACACCTGGGCCTGGAGCTGAGGCTACAGGGAAGCGTCACAGAGGACCGTGGGCGGCAGAGGGCAGCAGAGATGGCTACTAGGCCACAAAAACACACCAGAGAGCGCCCAAAGCACTAGGAAAGATTCGGACGCCCGCACTGTGCCTGGCTGCCGCACTACAACGGCAAGTGAAGATCATTCAGTCCTGAAAAAGCCCCTGAGGGCTCTGGACTGTCCACTGCCCGTCTGCCCGGATCCACAGAGAACCTGCCCTGTGTCTTGCTGGCACTACACCTTCCAAGCACGAGAAGCCACAGCCTAAAAAGATGTTCCAGAAGAAAGATCTGGGATCTGTGGGGCACCAGCGCCCCCCTACACCCCCACCCCTAAGGATGGCGCCCTGCCTACCTTCCTGGCCAGCTCCTCCTCCTGCAAGGAGAGGATGTGCCTGAGGCTCTCCACTCGCACCTGCAGCAGCTCCGCTGTGGTGTGCAGGCCTTCCCGGTCCTCCTGCAAGCGCTGCGTGCAGCAGGGGGCGCCTGTCAGGCTCCAGCCTGCTCTTAGGCGCAGCCAGTTGGAGCCCCACACCCCCCTCCTGGTCACTGTGCTCTCCTCAGGGCCCCTTCCAACCCCAGGACCAGAGCCCTCATGTCCCACCTGTCCTCCAGCCCCGCACGCATCACCCTGCACTCCCTCACCTGCATGGTGTCCAGAAGATCCTGCCGCTCTGGTTCCCACATCTGGCCATGGGCGTCAGGGGGCACTTGCTCCCCCACATATCTCCTTAGTTTCTCAACCAAGGCCTCCTGAGCCTCCAAGTCTTCTTGGGTCTTGCTAAGGTTGGGGCAGAAATAGCCGTCACTGGACACATGCCCCACCTACCCACTGCTGGGGTCCCCTCAGCTACACCCCTGTACCCCATTTACCTCAGTTGCTTCTGTAGCAGCTCTGCCTCCCTCTGGGCAATGGTCAGTTCCTTGGCTTCTACGGCCCGTCTGGCTTCTAGACTATTTAGCGACTTCTCCAAGCCCTCAGCTTTGCTGGTCAAACTGGAGAGTGCCTCCTGATGAGCCTGTGTCAAGGAGGAGAGCTGCGGAGAAAAGAGGGCTTGGCGAGGGTCAGCGCGCCCCTACCTGGGTCTTCCACACAGCCCACTCTGGCCTGGCCCCTTCACTCCCACCTGTGACCCTGATGGCAGCCCAATGTATCACCCAACTGCATGCTCGGCCTTGCTGCCTCACTCCCCCATCACCTTCCAGCTCAGCAGCAGGCTCTGTCAGGTCTCTCCCCAGGACATCTTCCCTTGTCTCCACTGCCATCAACCTCGGTAGCCACCCGCACCTCTGGCCTAGACAACGGGCAACACTCCTGACAGGCCCTTACAAAGGGCCCAGCAGTTTACCTGGCATTCAGAACAAAACCCAGTTTCTTCCCTCAGGCTGCGTAGCCCTGCTCCTGGGCCTCCACCCACTTCTCTGAGTCCACGTCCCAACGCACTCCCAATGCCCATTCTGCTACAGCCCAGTGCCCTCCTTCCTTCACCAGGGAGTCTACTCAAGCCTGGCTTCCCCAAGCAACTCAGAGGTCATGGTGGCATGGCCTCCTCAGGGAGGCCTCTGTGGGCCCTCCATTCCCTACCCACCACTGCTCGGTCCTACCCCTACTCGTGTCCTCTGGCCCTTCCTGTCACCTGTCATCTTACATCTGCACACAACACACTCGCTGCCAAACCCCACGTGAAAGGCAGCTTTGGAAAGCAGGAGGCTTGGCCTGGTCTCACTGTACCTCAAACAGTGGGGTGGGTGTTGGAGGCCCTGGAAGGCCCGGGGGGAACAGAGGAAAGTGGCAGCCATCACTTCTGGCTGCCCCTCTAGCCCTGCCACCCCACTGTCCGAGTGACATAAGCCACAAAACTGCTCGATATAAACAAGTCTGACCCCATCATTCCCCTGTGTAAACCCTCTTACTAGATGCGTATTGCTCTTAAGGTGAAGTAAAAGTTCTGGACAGCCTGAGGCCTCGCACATGCACACAACACAGAGCCCCTCATTTCCCGTGCTCGGACCCCTCTGACTCCCTGCACCCCACAAGTCCCGCAGCTCCCGTTGCTACCTTGAGTCACCTCACAGCCAGCTCTGCCAGCACAAATGTCAACTTTTGTCACCAAGCTGAAGGCCACTGATACTTTCCTATGAACTATCTCTTGAGTCCCATGTCTGGATTGCTACTTTCCCTCAGGAATACCTGGACACATGCTATTGACTGCCATCTGAACCGTTAAGTATTCTTCCCAAGTTTATCACTAGTCCTTAAATTCTCCCATTATCTCATCATTCCTGTTTAGTGTTACAACCTCACTGTATCAACCTTGAGTATCTCTGGACTCTATGTCACAGGTAGTAAGGTTTCCCCATTCTGGGGAATGTTTTCCTCCAGTATCTTCATGATTTTATTTAACTAGCCCCCCACCAGGCTAGGGGCCTTGTTTTTCTCATTCATGGCAATTCTCCAAATTGTAGAATTAATTAGAATTAAATTAAGGATGAATGTGCATCCCGCATTAGGCTGTCAGTTTTGTACCCAAGAGGGCAGGGACTCAGGCTATTTGCTCCTGTCCCAGAAATGGCAAAGAGTAATCCCTGATCAATCTTGCCGGATGAACAAGCGCCCCTTCTCCATCCATCTTAGACCCCCTCTCCCACCTTCCTTGCCTCCTTCCCAACGCTCCCAGGGAACTGGGAGTAACAAAGCTCAATCACTTTCTAAAGGGAGGAGGACTTTAAGAGATGAGAGGGCCCCTAAGTTCTGGGGAAAAGTATAATCTGAGTAAGACCAAACACTCAAGTTCTCATCTTTCCAAGTCGCCTATATTTCCCCTGCACCACACACTAGCCACGGATCTGCGCCCGGGGGCCTGCTCTCCGTTTGGAAGCAGCAAGGCGAGTCCACCCCTGTGAAGCTTAACCATCCCTTTCCCTGGTCACCTGCTCTTGGTGTAGCCGCTGAACCTCCTCCAGCTCCCGCTGGCTGCCCTCCTCCAGGTTCTTCCGGATCACCTCGGCCCCAGCCAAGGCAGCACGCAGGCCCTCGGCCTCAGCTCGGCCAGCCTTCTCTGCCTGTGCCAGGGCCTCCAGCTCCATGGCCTGGGTCTCCAGCTTCATCTTCTGCTGCAGTGAAGTCTCCCGCAGGACCTGGACCTCGTCCTCCAGCCGCCGGAGCTCTCGCAGCTGCCGAGAAATCAGCTCGGCCTGCTGGCTCAGGGCCTGCGACCCTTCCAGCCCCACAGACCTTCAAAGAGAGGTTCGCATAGGTAAAGCCAGTCTCTGGAGCTGGGAGGGTGGCCAGGAGCACAACTGGAGACAGGAGAAGGGGCACTGGATCACCCTGCTTCTCATGGGGAAATGGGAACAAGCAGAGCCACGGGGAACTCTGCATTCCCATCACCATCATCAGTCACTGAGGCGCTTCTCTGCACATATGGCTGCTGTCTGGGCACAGGAGACACAAAGGCTAGTTGAGGTCAAGGAACACAGTCTCCAGAGAGAGACAGATAGACGTGTGTCAAACATAAAATGAGCCCATGACTCTGCACTGGAGAAGCTGGAAGAATGCTTCTGAATGCTAATTTAAGGGCAAGGGAAAAAGTCTGAAGGAGATCTGGACAGATGAGGTCACGGCTTCGAGGTGAGGCCAGGAGCTAGTTAAAACCATTTTTTGAGTGTAAAGAATCTGAGAGGACAGTACAGCATTAGAGTGTAGAGCCTCTACCTTTGGAGAATCAAAGCTTAAACCAGCTTATAACTGCCTCTCACTGAGGATTTTGTTGTCATGTGGCTGGGATCTGTAACCTAGAAGGTAATTGGCTAAAGGAGCCCTAGCTGGTAGCCAAGTTAGCAACAGCTTGTCCACTCCCAGCACCTAATCTAGCACCCCTCCTCTTTGATGGTGTCTCAGATGGACCCAGCTGCAATCCCACGCCAGGACACAATGGCAGGATGACCTTCCAGCACATTTGGGAAGACATCAAGAATAAGGGTCTCTACTGCAGCATGACCAGCTTTGATGGTGTGTATTGAATTCACACTAGCACAGCACAAGCATCTTACTGCTCAGGAATCTTCACCTAGCTTCACATTATGTTGATCATGCTTAGCTGGTGAATGCTGCCATGAGGGTTTTTAATTCTTCAATATCAGGGCCTGTCATTCATTTCCGTTAACCCCACCTCCAGATATCTAGTACGCTGCCTTATTATTTATGCATTGTAGGCACCCATGGTTGCCTATATTAAAATGAAGCCAACTATGGAATAAGAAGCTAAAGTAGGGTGAGGAATCTATTTCAGTGAAGAAGGGCGACTGACAAATGAGTCCAGGAAAATGGCAACAAGGGAGAAGCCTACCTGCTTCTCTGGCCTGGCTCCTGCCCACTGCCATGGCCATCCCGATTCCATGCCAGCAGTGGAGGTCTTTGGTTGTCTGCCCGCCTTTCTGAGAAATCCTGATGGGCTGGGAGTTGGACCAGGGGAATATCTGAGACCCACTTGGGAGCCATTCTTGACAGAGTCGGATGGGGCCGAGCTTGGAAGTGGGATGGGGGAATGAGCCCAGTGGAACCTGAAGTATCACAAGGACAACGATGGTCAGTTTCCCAAAGAAAGACAATCATGAGTCCCCTTGCCAGGACCCACTGACCTGAAGGTCGAAACATGTCCACATTATTTGAAGTGTCTAGAGTCTGTGTCCAGTCATCTATGTTCCCCTGGACAATAGGAGAAACAAGGACACTCCAGTTCAATTTGCAGGCCACCTTCCAAAGAGAAAGGCCCTACAATAACAAAGTTATCATCCTTAAAAAATGGTCAAGTCCACTGGCTCTTAGTTCTTCTTATCCTACTTCCTGAAAGAAATTGGAAATACCAGGGCCTCCCTAGTGGCGCAAGGGGTTAAATCTCAACACAATGAAGCTACCCTTGGCCACTGTAGCATGAGTTCAATCCCCAGCCAGGAAGCTGACCCACATGGTGCAGCAGACCTCTCCTGTCTTACCCACTGCTCCCCTCAGCAGTGTATCTCAGTAGATCCTCCTGTTCTGCTCCCCACTCTGTCTCTTGGGAATTCTCTCACCTCCCCACTCCAGCACCTCTGGCCTGCACCCCAGCTCTTGTAAGCCTAAATAAATAAATCTTTAAAAAATAAGAAATCCAAAATACCTACTTACTAGACCTAATCTGGTTTCTGATAACTACTTAATATTTCAATGACCATGGGATGGGGGAAGGAGTAATTTTTTTTTTTGTTTTTTGGAAGGAGTAATTTTTGAGGCAAGCTAGGGAACTCTCAGGTTTTACTCATATTTTAGGATTCTGGACAGTGCCTTTACCCTCCTCCTCAAGCTTCTATGGTCTCTGCAGTTACTGGTCCGGGGCGAGTAAGGAGGTATGCAGCACTGTGCACCCCGTCGCCAGAGTTCTCTCCACGGCTCAGCAAGCCCGTGGGGAAGCCCATCCAGATACCAAGCCATGCCTGTGGATCCTCTATCAAAGCGCTGGCTCAAGGCCTGGCTCCAGATGAATGCGGCTGCATGTCCCGCATGCCATCTTCCGGGACATCTGGGAATCTAAGCAGCCCAGAACCCTGGGCAGAAAAGCCAGTTTCCTGACATCATACCCAAACCCTCCCAGCAGCTTTCCTCTCAGTTTCTCTCTACCATGCCCTCAGTTTCCATTTTCGTTGCCCACTCTCCTCTCTCCAGAACCCTAGAACATAGATTAGAGCACAGAGAGGGTTCTTTAAGCTCCCCCCTCAAACCCCCACCCTGCCCCAAACTGGGATTCCTACCACCCACCCTCCACCCTAACCCACTCTTTTCCGGGAGGAATTATTCCGGTCCTCATTCTCAATAGCCTGCCCTCACCTCCCTGCTCTCTAGCCTGTCCCCACTTCTCCCTACCCTCATCTCCCCCAGAAACCCAGTATCGACCCCGAGTTCTGTTCCGACCGGGTCATCTATCGCTATCTGGCCCCTGTACCCTCTTCCCCTATGGACCACTGGACCCACCCCCGAACCCCATCTAGGTCCCTTCCCGCGCTCAACCGACTTTTCTCGAACGCCCCTTACCCAGCTCGAGCGCCCCCCTTGGCCCTTTGGCCACACCCCCTGCACCTCTCAGCGCCCGGCCTCCGCCCCTGACCGCGCCTGCGCTAAGCGCAAGGGTTGGCGGGCTGCTCCAGGGCCGTTTCCCTCCGGAAGGAGGCGGGGAAGGAGTGCGCACATGCGCAGTAGTGCCTAACGCCCGGACCCATTAAGGCCTCGCTGCGTCTCCGCGCCCTGGCGGCTCCGCCCAACTCTGGGAACCCGGGAAAAATTGTGAGCTAATCAGAAAAGGCGGAAGTTCCCTCCCCAGCGCGTCGCCCAATGGAACGGAGGGGAGCCACCGAGATGACCAATCAGGCGCGGCACTGGGGGCGGGCTCGCTGGGCGCGAAGTTCGACCCGGGCATTTCGAAGGCGGGGTCGAGGCGGCCCGCGCGCTGAGGCTGCGCCCCTGCTGGTCCGGCTTCCTTGCTGTCAAACAGACGCAGGAGCGCCAGCCCCGGCCTGAGCCCGAGGGGTCTGGGCCGCCGCGCCGGCTGGCAGCACTGGAAGAGAAGACCACTCCGAGACTTCACTGCACGGTAGATCCGGGGCTGGGCTGGGCCGGACTGGGCGGGGAGGGCAAGGCTGGGTTTACTTGGTATGACCTCGGGAGCTGTTGCACCTATTTTTAGCCCGCGTAGAAGTAGGAAGGCAGCATCGCTTTGTTGGAGGACGTCGGAGCGCGTTTGCATTGCCTTTTGAGGGGTGACAGTGGATTCGCCCCACACACACACACCCCGGGATTCAAGCTGACTAGTTATTCAAGATTGGCCAGAAGAGAGAGGCGCGGGCAGTGGGAGGTTACTCTAGTTGGGTAAGCAGATTTGACAGGAAGAAGCGTCTTTTCTCCAAATTATACTGCTGACAAGTTAGTATTGCACAGATGCAGAACCCTCGACCCACCCCTACAGCTTACACTTGCCCAGAATCTGCCTAATGTATTGCTGTCTTTACACAGATTGAAGGCTCCCGGTATATTGCGGCCCGAGGATCTGGTTCATCCAGGGCGTTCGTGTTTGCACTGTGCCCTTGGACCTCCCCCGAGTTTTTCCGTTGTAAAGCTGCTTGACGACCAATTTGCATCGTGTGGCTCGGCTCCTTACACTGAATTTGCACTACTGAGGGAGTGTGCTCAAAGCTCAAAGCACAACTCAAGTTTGCATCGGATGGAAAGTGAAAATAAGCCACAGTGCACCGTGCGGCAGTGGAGGTGATGGACCAGTGAAGGGGCAGAGGTGGTGTGTCAGGGCCACCGCCCATGCTGCCCTGCTTCCAGCTGCTGCGCATAGGGGGCGGCAAGGGCGGTGATCTCTACACCTTCCACCCCCCAAACAGAGCTGGGTGCACCTATCGCTTGGGCTGCAGGGCCGACCTGTGCGATGTGGTCCTGCGGCCCCAGCGGGAGTCTTGTCTCATCTCTGGAGTCCATGCGGAGCTGCATGCCGAGCGCAGCGGGGAGGACTGGAGGGTCAGCGTGGAGGACCATAGCAGCCAAGGTGAGCAGTGAGCAGGGCAGCTTTGGGGAATAGTTGCAGTTCTGGGACTGATTAAGGGACTCGGCGGGGCCCTAACCTGCCTCCTAGACTCCCCAGCAGGTTGAATGGGCAGTTGTAGTGCAGATTCTCATCTCCCTACCAGAAGTGTGCAGTGTCAGTTCTGTCCAGGGGCAGATGCTTGATGGTCCCTATTTATCTCATACCGGGGCTGGGGCATCATTGGGGATATATGGGGGCTAAGGACGGGGAAGAGTTCTGGGCCCTTGAAAACCAAACGCAGACTTTGCTGAGGGACCTTATTCCTGTCTGCAGGCAGTTATGTTGAATCGTGTTTCATGGTCTGGGCAAGTAACTTATTCCCTGACTAGGAGGGCTAACAGCCTGAGAAGACCTGGGCTCACCTCTGAGGTTTGCCACAGGTCCCAGGTGAAACCTCTGGCCTGTCACTTGGCAGATAAAATCTGGTTTTGTAGTCTGTAGGGATTGTTGTGATAACTGGCATATCCAGTAGCCATTTAGTGTTTGCTATTATGAGCCAGACACTGATTTTAAGTACTTTCAGTGTGGGTGGACACACTGAAATTTTTGCAGACAAAAATTAGACACAACATGGCTGTCTAGCCCAGGGTCATATAGCTAAAAAGGAGCAGAGCCACATTTTGACCCCAGATAATGACCACTGCTCTTTGAGTGGAATCCGCATGAGGAGTATGTCAAAGAGTTGGACCTCAGTAGGTGAAGGAACTGAGTGCCCTAGGGGTTGGGGAGGGGGGCCATAAGAAAATGAAATGTGTTCTCAGCCCTGCAAGGAGCTTGGGATATGATGTCCCTTGCTGAGGGGCTTTGAATGTGAGAATTTGGTGAAAGGAGTCAAGTTCTTTCCCATTTTCCCCAGAAAAAAGTGGGTTCATATTTCTCCACTCGACTCATTCTTTATCTTTCTGCCCCCCCCCCCCATCAACAGGGACTTTGGTCAATAATGTTCGACTCCCAAAAGGTCACAGGCTAGAGTTGAGTGATGGTGACCTCCTGACCTTTGGCCCAGAAGGATCCCCAGCAACCAGCCCCTCGGAGTTCTACTTTATGTTTCAGCAAGTTCGGGTCAAACCTCAAGATTTTGCTGCCATAACCATCCCACGGTCTAGGGGAGAAGGAACTGGAGCTGGTTTCCAGCCCATGCTGCCCCCACAAGGGGCTCCACAGCGGCCCCTCAGCACCCTCTCCCTTGCCCCCAAAGCCTCACTGATCCTCAACTCCATTGGCAGCCTCAGCAAGCTCCAGCCCCAGCCACTCACCTTCTCCCGGAGTGGAGGGAGTGGAGGGCGGCCACAGAGCCAGCCTGTCCCCACTCCTCCTGGGGACACAGGGCCGGCTCCCCCTGCCCCACCCCCAAGGAACCGGAGGAAGTCAGTTCACCGAGTGTTGCCAGAACTGGATGATGAGAAAGAAGCTCCAGAGAGCCTCCCACTGGCCCTTATGGAGCCAAGGAAGAAACTCCGTTTAGAGAAAACCCCTCTGACATCCAGTGGGTAAGCAGCTCCATCTCTCACTGCCTTCTGTTTTTAAGACTCAGGCCGGAGGGTGGCTGTCTTTTAAGGGGATAAGGACAGGAGATGGACAGAGGTGGAACAGATGCTGGGGTGGCGTGGCCTGGGTCAGCTCTGCTAACCTGCCTCACTGTCAGTCTGGTGTCGAGGTTCACTGTTCAGGGGCAGGTGCTAGGCCTCTATAGGTTTCCAGCTACTGGTTTTTGTCACTATTCAGAAATCGACGTGGGCCCTCAGAACCACCCAACAAGCATACCCCTGGCTTCCCCAGGAGTTGTGATTGGGGACCCCTGTACTGCCCCTTCTTGCTGCCCACCCTAAGAAGGGACAGTGGCCTGGGTTCAGTGTGATGACTGATGCCTGGTTCCATGTGGCCTGTGTTGGCTGCAGTATCCAGGCTGCCAGAGAAGCTGACTTCCTGTGCCCAGAGTGTCACACTGGCCTCTAGACTGAAGGCCCACCACCAAGTCAGAGGACAGAGCTGGTGACCTCCAAGCCATGGGTGAAGGTGAAGCACAGGATGCCAATGGGTTCTAAGAAATGCCCTCTTCCCTTGCTTCCTCAGCAGGGAGTGACAACCAGGGAAGACCACCCATTGCTATGGACATCAACTCAAGCCCTGAGGAGGCTGTGCTGGGCAAGGAGACAGAAGAGATGGTTTCCTGCCAAAGATACTGCTGCTTCCGGGAGGTTGCACTGAGCTGGGAGTTCCTAGTTTATAAGCTGTAGGTCCTTACTGCCCCGGGCGCTAGGCTGTTGGGCCAGAGCACCATCAATGCAGGGGCCACTCCTGGGAAGCAGCAAGCCCCTGATAACAAGTTCTCTGTTCTTGGGGAAACCCGGGCAGAGCCAAAACTGCCCTAAGGAAGTCCAGACTATGACCTGGCTTTTCTAGCTTTGCTTTCATTTCCAAATAAAGAGCCAGCAGCTTTATTAACACCTAGGTATCTACTTTCCATGCACTTGATACTCCTTTTCAAAGCTTGGGAGAATGGACTTGGTGAAGTGTGTCTGTCATTAGGGAAAGGGGCAGATGAAGCAGACAAGGCAGAGAAATAAGCAACATTTCATCAGATCTACATGGAGTAGGCCAGAGGTGGGCATTAAAACAAAGCAGCTCGGACTTCGTCAAGCTGATGATGCTGACAAAACTAAATTCACTGGTGCTACCAACCAGGACAAAATCTGGTCAGCTAACTAAAACAGGTATTGACCTGTTTGGACCAACGTACTAGCGCATTCTTGAACCAGTTGTACACTCCTGTCCTCCTGTGAGCTTTACATTAAGCCAAGATTCTAGACTTCTTACTAGGGAAGTGTTATTTAGGCCTGTTACAACCTACGAGATCACCAATCCCCTTGCACCCCCACCTAGACTCTCCCAAGTTTTTTTCACATCCAGATATAACTCCAGAGGCCAGGTTTAGAATGGCAGTTTGCTGAGTCCCTCATGGACAAGGTGGGCAAAACCTTAATCAGAAGCCAAATGGGCCCTGGTATCAAGAAGCTAGGTCGAGTTTCTGACAGAAGTGTTTGCCCCCAAAAAATGAGTAAAGACTTGATTTCTTGGCAGAGACTACAGACGTCCAGTGTAGACAGAGGAAAATAAAAGGCATAGGTTATAAAAAGCTTCTGGCCTGGGTTATATACAGTAGCGGCACCTGTGGGCATTAAGCTCAAATTTCCCAGGCCCTCCCTGATGGTGCAGTGGGTTAAAGCATAGCACTGCGAAGTTAGCTGCAGCTGCTTCAGCACAAGTTCAGCCCCTGGTCAGGCACCTCAATCTGACCCACATGGCACAGCAGACCTCTCAAGGCATGGACGCCCACCCCACCCGCTGCTCCCCTCAGCAGTGTACCTGGTCAACCTGTATGTTCTTCCCCACTCTGTCTCTGGTGAATCCTCTCATGACTTCTGGCCTATACCCCAGTTCTGTATGCATAAATAAATAAATCTTAAAAAAAAAAACTCAATTTCCTCAGAACCTCATGTTACAAGGCCCTAGGAACTAGCTCAGTCTATAAGGATCTTTGACCAAGAAAATGGGTCCCAGCCCGAGATCTCCCTCTGTCGTGTGACTTTGAGAAGGGTTTCTGAGTCACTCATTCTCCCCTTTTCCTTCAGCAACCAAAGGCTAAACCGACCTAAACCAACGACAAAAGTATCCACCTGCTGTGTCCCAGGAGCCTTTATTTAAGAACAAAGTGATAGTGATGTGGGGATTAAAATCAAGAACTTCACCTTCCCTCCATTAAGGTCCCCCAAACTCCCTGCCCCCACACCCGTTGTGTTCCCAATTCCTTTTTTTAGTGAATGAAGAACGTAATCCCCAAAGCCCTGGTATAAACCCGGGGGCTTTTTCTCTGACTCTCCCCTTTCTCTGCCCCCCACATTCCTGGGGAGGGCATGCACCTCAATTTGAATGCATGGGAGAGCCCAGAGTGGTGACAGGCACAGAAGGAAAGGCTTCACCCTCAGGGAAAGGGACCGAGGAGTACAGGGTCGTGAAGTGAGGGCTCCCATAGCCTGGGGTACCAAAATGGGGCCCTGGTGCCAGAGGAAAGGATACTGGTCCCCCTGAGAAAGGAGACCCAGTAGCCTCAAAATCCTCTCGTTGTGAATAGTCACTGCTTGATCGCTTTCCCTTCTGGCGACGGTTGCAGAACCACACTCGGACCACCTGGAATGGGAAATTGCAAGGCAGAGGGTGCTTCCCTCAGAAACTGGGTGGTGGGTATGGCTGGGCTTGGCCACTTGACAGGGAGCTAGGGAGCTAGGAAGCTAGGAAAGAGGGCCGGGAAGGAGGTGGGGCACTCACGTCCTTCTCGAGGCCAAGCTGCTGGGCGATGTGGCTGATCTGCTGCAGCGTGGGTTTCGGGCACTGCAGGAACATACTCTCCAGGTTGCCTCTCACTCGGTTCTCAATGCTAGTGCGCTTTCTCTTCCGGGCCTGCACGAGGGTCTCTGCCTTGCATATCTAGGTGTGTGGGGAGAGAGGGGGTGACGAGGCAGGACGTGGGAAGGCAAGCCTCGAACCTGCTGAGCGAGAGCACCAGGGACCAATGACTCATGGGGAAGTACTCAAGAGGGCACTGATGACAAGTATCAGAGCCAGGAGATAAGAAGGATCCAGAAGGGTAGGGGATAAGCTCAGTACCACTGAACCCCCATCCACAGCTGAGGAAGGATGCTCTGCCCTGAGAACACTACTGCCTTCAGGGGGGAGGGGGCGGGCTGGAAGCCAGGGTGGAAGCCAGACGAACTGGGGGGAGGGGCTCAGTGGGCCTGTACACCCCCCCACCTCACCTCTTGTAGGTTTTCGTTGTTGTCAGCTTCCTCCACCCACTTCTGCAGCAGGGGCCGCAGCTTACACATGTTCTTGAAACTGAGCTGCAGAGCCTCAAAGCGGCAGATGGTAGTTTGGCTGAACACCTTCCCTGGGGTGTTGGGGGCGTTAAAGACAAGGTGAGGCGGCAGGTGGGACCCTGATAACCCAAAGTCCCAGAACCTCACCACCAATTGGCTGAACACCTTCCCTGGGGTGTTGGGGGCGTTAAAGACAAGGTGAGGCGGCAGGTGGGACCCTGATAACCCAAAGTCCCAGAACCTCACCACCAATTCTGCTCACAAGATCCCATACCAAGGTCCCACTTCTTCCTGGGGAAACTCAAGGCCCAAGTAGCACTTGTCTCTCTCCCTCCCTCTCTGCCCTCATCATGGGTGAGGGCAGGGTCTGCCCATGAAGCCCCTCCCCCTGCTCCCTCAGTAGAGAGGATAGGCCCAGGGTCCCCTTCCAGGGGAGATGTGGTCCTTGTGTTCAGTAAGTTGGAATATGCTAAGAGGGACCCACCAAAAAGAACCCCCAGGGTAAGCCCCACATCGGCCTGGGTATATCCTAGGGTGATCCTCTTCTGTTTCAGCAGCTTGGCAAATTGCTCAAGTTCTTTCTGTAGAGCTTTGATGTCTTGAGACTGCAGTGAAAATGACAGAGGTGGTAAGAGAACATAGACACACCAAGATGGGCCCCTCTTACCATTCAGGAGCACCTGACTGATCACCCCAAGGGATGATCCGCCTCCAGGCTGCCCACCTAACATGAAGCAATAACTGAGAGGACCTCCCAGTGGCCCAGCAGGTTAAGTCTCAGCACTAACAAGCTATCTGCAACAAGAGTTTGATCTCAGGCCACGGAGGTGACAAGGTGCAACAGACCGCTCCTGTCTCACCTGCCCCCAGCAGTGTATTTCAGTCAACCCCTGTTCTGTTCCCTAGTCTGTCTCTAGTGAATCTTCTCACCCCCACACGTCTGGCCTACACCCCACTTTTGTATGCATAAATAAGTAGATCTTATTTTAAAAAGAAAAAAAGAATCTCTATCCAAACATCACCCCAGAAACCAGCAGTCAGCACTGGGGCAGCATCAGCACTGTGCCAGGTAGGAAGATAGAGTGCCCAGAGAGACTGTCTGCCCCGTGTGAAGGTGCTCCAGCCCATCCCCTCAGTCACCAAAAAAAGCATTTACCAATGAACAGCAAAGAACGTTTTCACTCAAGTAATATATGCACAGATTGAGGGAGTCTTGAAGCTAGAGAACCAGCAACACTAATCACTCTAAATTTGCTCAATTCAACCCTCTCCTCTTTGGCATGCGGGTCAGGGCCCACACACTGGCCCAGCATGCGTATACAAATAGACTACAGCATGCAGAAATAGTCAGGAGAGGTAGGAATAAAGCGCTTTGTGTACAGTTGGTGCAAAACTTAAAACTTGAGGGTCCCTGGTTTTCTGTTACCCAGGGCAGACACAAACATCATCAGCCACTGCCCTCCGGAACGCCAGCCACTACACACAGCAGACAAACGAGGCCCATGGAGGTCCCACTCTAGCGTGGAATTACCCGTAATGCTAGTAGGTTTAAGAACAATGGGAAAAGAGAGGCAGGGAAAGGGGCAAGTTGTAGGTAGCTATTTCAGTACAGAAAATGAAGACAGCATTATCAAATGTATCCCCAAGTGTTATCTATTTGTGGAAATCAGTGATTACACTTTGGTATGTTACAATTTATACGCCAAAATTCATGACAACTTTAAATAAAGGCAGGGTGATGTTGGTGCAAAGGGAACAGCAGTGTGAAAGGCCTTGGCGGGTCTCCAATACCAGCAAGGCTGGCTCATCTGGGGCAGGGAGAGCGGCTGGGGCAGGGAGAGCGGCTGGGGCAGGGGGAGCGAGCTGAGGAAAGGGGAGTAAGGGGCTGGTGAGGCATGAGCTGAGCAAGGAGATCCTGTAGGTGGTGCAGTGATTTTCTTACTCAGTGAAATGGGGAGTCACTGAAGGACTTGTGCAGTGAAATGATCTGGATTCACACATTTTAAAATGCTCGCTTCAGCCAATGTGTTGAGCACAGTTTAGGAAGCCAACTGGGATAATCCAGGCTGCGATGGTGGTGGCTGGGGCCAGGCAGCATTTGTAAATGGGCAAATAAGGCTGTTTCCAAGGCAAGGCTGGATGTAGGATTTGAAAGGAATGAAGGTGAATGATTTGGGGCTTGAACAGGTGATGGGCAAGGTGGGGCTGCTCAGGGAGCTATTTGAGGAGGAGGTAGAAAATGTGCTAGTACAGTGTGGCAGTCACGCTATGGGTATTTGAACCTCAAGGTGGAAAAGAGGAAGAGAGATAGAGCACTTGTTGACAGAGCCCCGGGGCCTGACAAGGAAGGCCAGAGACCAAGGGCAGGGAGAAAGCACCTAGGCTCGGTGCCCTCCAGAAACCTTACAGGGGCATGCAAGGGAGATGAGTGACATCAGATTCCAACAGGTTAATTTCCATTCCAATTTCTGCTCAACCAGCGTCTCAAACCTGAACATACATGCCTCAGTTGTCCCCTTCTAGACATTTGCAAATTCTAACTTGGGGACATAAGTCAGGTAAATGCCAGTTCAAATCTTCATCATTAAGCAGTGAAGACCCAAGAAACAGGCTAATAATACCTCTCTAGGAGATTTTGTACGAGTTAATGAGGTAATGATGTAGAAACCCAGCACACTGCCAGGCACTTGGGAAATGGACCGCAATTGGCAGCCATTATTATTCAAGACTCAGCCATCACCTCCTAGGAAGAGTCAAGGGCTACTAGGTCAGTCAAAACCACTCACACCTCCTTCTGTGAAGTCTAAAGTCTTAGTACTTGGTCTCTAATTGCTTGCACTTGTCTCCAGGATGACTGAAAGACACATCCTTAAAAGTCCCCAGCCCAGCTGGACTCAAGTCAATCCGTAGCAGAGGCTACCTTTGGGGAATGGACTGGACCCCACTTTTTCCATCCTTCTTCCCCACTGCCCCCATCCGTTCACCACCTAAGGAAAGATGGCTGAAACTGGTACTCCCAGCCCTTGACAAGAGGTGCCAGGGTGTGGGCTGAACACAGGGGTGACTTCACTGGCTCAAAGGCAGAGAAGACAAGCCCTAAACTTGACTGCAGACGTGCTCAAAAAGGAACTTCTATCAGAAATCGGTCACATTAAAAAAAAAAAAAAAAAAAGCAGTCACACCCTGGACTTTCAGGAACAATAACGGTGGGATAAGCACTGTTTTGACCCTGAGGCCCTGCTTACCCTAAGGCCAAGATCATAGCTGATAAGGATCAAATTCTCAATGAGGATTGTGTGGAAGGGACTCCAACCCCAAGATGGGCCTCACGGAGCTGATACGAAGTGAGGGGACCTTGGTCAGGCTTGGGGAGAGAAGTATTAGGACATCCTTCCCCTTAAGACAAGAACTGGGGATGGAAGCAAGGTGAGCCCCGTCACCTTCCCGTCCCCGGGGCGGCCCTGCCCTTGCCTGGGGCTCTCCAGTTCCCAACGTGGCCCTCCGTCCCCACGGCCTCCGGTTTCGGCTGCTACACTCCTCTCTACCTGGGGTGCCCCGTGCTGCCGCCCTCCCAGGCTCCAGGCCCAGGGGAGACAGGCGACCACTTCCCACCCACCCATGGCCACCCCAGCCAGCCGCCACCCCGCCGCCCTCTGAGGTGCACTTGCCTCCTCTGAGTTTTGCTCCAGTTTCTCCTTCTCCAGCTTCACGGCAACGGAGGGGGCAGCCCCGGGCTCGGGGGAGGCCCCGTCGGAGTTGCTCTCCACCCCGGCTCCTACCTCCACCTCGGGTTGAGGGGTTTCCAGGCTGCCTTGGGGCAGCAGCCCCACCCCAACCTGAGGCCCACAGTATGCCATCCCTCCGCAGAAGTCGTACGGAGTGGGGCACGGGGGAATCCCCCACACCTCAGTGCCCGGCCCAACCCCCGGCCCAATCCCTGATCCGCCAGGAGGGCCGGGGAAGCTCAGCCAGGCCCGAGGGTCAACCCAGCCTTGCTCAGGCCCTCCTGGCCCATCGCCTCCACCACCTGGCGGGGGTGAGAAGGCGAAGTCAGAGGTTAGGTGTCCCGCCATGGGGAAGGAAGGCGCCCCAAGCCGGGGGCCCGGTAAAAGGAGGGCTCTCCAAGGGACTGCTCAACACCTCTCTCCCTCCCCAATCCCACCCACTAGCCTTGACCTCAGGCCCCGCCCTCTGGGTGGGTGGAGGAGAGGACGGTGGGGGTGGGAGAAACTGAGGCGAAGGGTGTTTGCCTGATGGTGAAGTTTTATCTGTGGAAGGGGAAGGCCTGGGAGCTCCACTAGGCTCCTCTCTGGGCCCAGGCCCCAGCCCCCAAAGCCCTTGGTGCTAGTTCCCCTGATCTCTCTCTCTCCAGTCCCCAACAGCTGCTTGGCCCTCTTAACTGGTTCTGCTCACCTCAGAGCTGTGTGGGGCCTCTGGGGCACCTCCCATAGGTTCTGCAGAAGCAGGGTGTGTGACCCCCTCTCCAAAGACCCTGCCACCCCACAGCTCCTCAAATTCTTACTTGTGTACATGCCAAGTACAGCTGGGCTACCTTTCTTGACAGCCTCCCCCTGTGCCCCAACCCCAAGCCAGGGCCCTAGGCTTTCAGAACCTGGTTACTGGTCCGGTTCAGTTACCCCAAAGCAGCAAAGGCCCAGCACCCATCTCCCAGCCCGGTGAACTCCACCCAATCTCCAGGGGCAGATTGCTAGACAAGGTTTCTCTTCCATATCCTTGAAGGCCTTGCTCTTTGGAGCCCCCTCACCTACCAGATTGCTAACTCCCCCCCTTATAGGAGCCAGGAGCTGGACAGACTGAGCCCGACTTCTCCAACCTTTGCCAGACTGAGGACTCAGCGCCCCCCTACTGTGGACCTGCATTTCAGGTCCCTTGCCCCCCACTTCAGGGACCAGAATAGCTAGAACGTTGCAGCCCTATCTCCCTCCCCCACCTCCCCTGCCAGATCTCCAGCCCTAGCCCCCGGGTGGAGAAAGTCTAGGAGAGAGAAAAAAATATCTGACTTCAGGTTCAAAGAGTCTTGGGAGGGACTGGGGGAAGGGGCAGGACAATGGCCTTGGCTGGACAATCCCAGTCCCCAGAGGGGGCAGCTCTAACCCTAAACAAGTGCTCAACCCTTGAATGGGCCTGGATGGCTCCCCTGGGGACAGCTTCCTGCCCCTCGACACCCCCCACCCCAACCCAATCCCCTCACACAGAATCCCCCTCAGTGTGGCTAAAAGAGCTCCAGCAACACCTCCCCCTCCCAAGTCTCCCTCAAAGACGGGACTCAGACTGGGCTCCCGCTGGGAATCAGGTATCCTGCTCCCCTTCCTTTGGAGGACTCGCCGTCCAGCCTTATCACCCACCCCTCCCCCAGAACCCCCTGACCAAGGGATGCACTTGTTTGGGGGACTGGCGGAAAGCAGCTGAGGAGGTGCAGGAGGGTTTGGAGAGGGGGTATGGGAAGCCTGCCTCAAGCTCTCCCACTGAGCCTATTTTTCTGGGCCTGCCCTGAGTGTCCTCAGGGCTCAGCTCACGCTGCTGGCCTGGTTCTCCACAGTTTGCAAAAGAAAAGCTCTCAAGAGTATCCACCTGTGAGGGGTCCTGTTTGCCTGTCTGCTCCCAAAACTTGCCCTAAATGGGGGCTTCTGTGGAGCTCCCTGGGGCTCTTGAGCTGAGTCTTGAACCTGTGATGCTCAGGTTTGCTTGCCTGGTCTGAGGCTTGCCCTCTGCCTAGTGTGGGCCGGTACCCAGGTGTGGGCTCTTCTGGCTGTGCCAGCTGCTTCACCTTGTCAGTACCTGAGTCTGGAGCCTGTTGCTTTGCCCTTTGAACTTATCACACAGCCCCTGTTTCTGTGCCCATCTGTGTGTAGTTTTTGGGTAACGAACTCTAAATAAGCATTTTTTTTCTGCGCGCCCCCCCCCCCCCGTGTCCACTAAGCTTGCATTTTAGCACTTGTTCAAATCCAAGGGGTAGTAGGGCTGGATTCACCTTTAAGCCACTCATGGCCCAAAGGCCAATAGTTGAAGGGGCCTGGTGGGGGTGGAGAGCTGTGCTCTGGACAGTAGAGGCCCCTCCCCAGCAACCCCCCCACCCCCTAGGACAGAGCCATCAGGGCACCTTTGTCATGCATCTATCTGCTGTCTGCCATGAAGACAGCCTCCGGAGTGGGGGAGGGGCAGACCTAGGAAATCTCTAACCCCTGAGCTCTGGCTCTCCACCCTTGAGGCTCCCAGAAACCCTTCTCCATGCCAGTCCAGAGAACCTGCTACCCCTGCTTCCCAGCAGCTCCTAGAACACCTTTACCAGTTTCCCACCCAGCACCAGCCTCTTGTTCTTCAGACTACAGGAGTTGCACTAAGTTGTGGTAAGTTTCTGGCATAGGCAACAGGCCCCTTGCAGGGAGAGAGCCAAAGAGGGGGTGGATGCTTGGGTCACTAGATAGTCCTGAGCCAGGTCAGCCCTGTGCTTGCTGGTTCCAACCCAGAACTCTCAAGGCCAATACGTGTGGACAGCAGCCAGCCCCTCGGGGAGTGCTCTGGCTGGCTTTGGCTGAGACCTACTCTGTTCCCTCTTCCCCTCCTCCTGCTCCCCTTGGGCCTGAAAGGTAGGCAGTTTCACTGCTGCCAAAGCCAGCTTAGACCCAGCCATCTTGTTGTCAAACTGGATGCTGGAAACCACAGACCTGGCTCCTGGGATCTCCTAGAATCTCAAGACCCCAAAACCAGTGTAGGATTGAGCTCACAAACTCACCATACACACCTTTATTATAGTGCAACATCACGGCCTTCACAGAGAAAAGTGCTAGTGACAGCTTGCAAAGCATGCCTGACAACCACGGAGGGCAGGTGAGGTCACTGTCCGCCTGGCCCCCGCCCCCCAGGCATGGCTAGCTGGCTGGGCTGCCAAGACGTGCAACGTTGGCCTTGCCCGGGTCCTCACAGGGCCTGAGCACGCCGCCTTCTGGTTGGGAGGGCCGGCCAAAGGGCTCCATGGGGCCCAGGAAGCTTGCTCCACAGCGGTGCGCAGGTCACATCTGACTTCCAGGTCCTGTCAATCTGAAGGCAGAAGAAGGGAAAGAATGGAGAGGACCAGGACCCAGGGGAGAAGGGTTTAGGTTTGGCCCAGGTTGGGAGATTATCCTCCTTAATCTCACAGTCTCCTACTGCTCCCTGTAACCCCGCACCCCTGCTAGACAAATGACCCCAGCTCTCTGGTGCCCTGCAAAATGGACAACCAGACATCCTTACCTCAAATTGAGGAGTCCGGCATCTGATTGTAGTCTGTGGGGAGGCAGAGGTGAGAGTGAGCTGGGGCAGCAGGAAGGAGCCTGACCCAACTGCCCAGCTGCTGGCACTGTCCCTCTGTGCCTCGGTTTTCTCATTTAATAAAGAGGAATTGGACGAAATGAATTCTTGACTTCTTTCCAGACTGCACATGAACTTGCTACCTGACCCCATCCGCCTTCCTGTCTACCATGGCACTTACTTGACATAGGAATATAGATTTCCCTCTGTGCACCTGTGAGGAGAAATTGGGGTTGGGAGGGTGGGAAAGGAGGGCTCGGTGAGATGCTGGCCCAGGCCTTCTGGTAGCCCACCTCCCACCTCTAAGCAGCCTTCCTGGGAAATCGGTGTGATCGAGACACATGGGAAGAGTTTGGGAGCCCAGTTTAGACTTGAGCCTGAGGAAATTCACTTTAGGAGGTAAAACTAATCATAGAAAACAGATTGGCGGGAGGGGTGAAGAAGACACCCAGGCCAAAGGCTAGAGGGGAAGCAGAAACCCTAATCCGTCCCTCCCCTCCACAGTCCCTCAGTCGCTCCTTAAAGCTCTGGGAGGAAGCGGCACAGGCAACAGGCGGGAGTCATACCTGCCATCCTGCCCTGCTTCCACTTCTTCCAGAGGAAGGTGCCTGCCGCTCCCACAGGAACCACCACGGAGGCCAGGAGCCCACAGAGCATCCAGAGGGGAGCTGCTTAGGCCTGGGGGGCTCTGAAAAGGGAGTGAGTGAGTAGCCCACAGACCTGTGGAAGCCCCTCCCTTGCCCAGGGCCACCTTGGCTCCTCACCTCAGGCCCCCTCAGAGCCCCCACATGGTCCTGGAGCTCAGCCAGGCCAGACAGGCTCTGTTCATGTCAAAGGGCAACTCAGTGGCCTATTGGTTCTGAGTAGTCTCACCCCCCAACCAAGGGGCACCCCCCATGGATTCAGGGTACAAAGGCAGTCCACCTCTCCACTCACAAGCTGAGGGATAGAAGCCCACATATTGGAAGGGGCTCCCTGCTAGAATTCTTTAGGGGGTTGGTAGTGGGGCAGGGACCCTAAAGACTTCCCAGGCCAGAGGATACTGGCTGCCTCATCTTGCCAAACTCCCATGACCCTCCACACCAGGCCCAGATGCCACACAGCACTGTTTACAACGCAGCCACCTCCCTTCTCTGGGTGCTAAACCCGGGTCAGAACTTGCACACCAAGTAGGGAAAGGGTTAGCCAAATTTGTGTGAAAGAGCAGATGGAGCCTCCCTGGTAGCGCAGGAGTTAAGTCTCAGCACTATGAAGCTCTCACCATAACCACTGAAACATGAGTTTGATCCCTGGCCAGGAGGTGACCCACATGGCGCAGCAGACCTCATCTGTCTCACTCGCTGCTCCCCTCAGCCGTGTACTTAAGTAGATCTGCCTGTTCTGCTCCCTACTCTGTCTCTGGTGAATCCTCTCACCTCCCCCACCTCTGGCCCACACCTCGTTCTTACATGCATAAATAAGTAAAAATAAATCTTTAAAAAGAAAGAAGCGGGGCCCTCCCTGAAGGCACAGAGGGTTAAAGTGCAGCACTACGAAGCTAAAGCCATGTCAGCATGAGTTTGACCCCAGCCCGGAAGCTGACCTCTCCTGACCCGCCCGCTGTTCCCCTCAGCAGTATACTTCGTCCATCTGCCTGTTCTGCTCCCCATGCCGTCTCTGGTGAAGCCTCTTACCGCCCCTGCACCTCTGGCCTGTACCCCAGTTCTGTATGCATAAATAAATAAATATTTAAAAAAAAAAAGAAAGAAAGAAACAGAAGGCTAGGCCAGTCAGAGACAGAATGTGCTAGCAATGGACACAGGTCATGCCATGGAGTCTCAGGCCGGCTGAGGCCTGCCCTCCCACCCGCCCCATGATGCCCTCAGCCTCTCCACCTTCCCCACTGCTCAGCCCCACGTACCTATCACTGCTGTCTCAGGCCGGAACCCTGCCCCAGCTTCCAGGTATTTCCGGAGAGGGTAGAGGCAGCTCTTGCTCAGGAATGACTGCTCCTTTGCTGTCTCCCCCTCTGCAGTTCGGCCTTGTCCTGGGCTGCTTTTGCTGGAATTGAAAGTCTCCAGTGTGCTGAGAAGGAAGTCCTAGCCATCACAGTTGTATCGCCAGTGTCCCCAGCTGCTCTGGTTCCCCAGCAGCTCACAGACCACCGTGGCCTGCAGGGTGTGAGACTCTGAAACGCCAAGGCATCAGAACGCCAAACTCAGAGGAGAGAACAGCCAAACTCAGAGGAGAGAACAGCGGCCTTCTCCACCCCCACCACCTCCCCACATGCCTGGAATTCCCGTCTCCACTGATAAACCCTCACTCATTCTCAAGGCCTCTCTTCTCCCTCACTCACATCCCCAGCAAAGCCTGGCTGCACCCCACCTCCAGCCCCTGCAGCAAGTGGCTCCCTCCCAGCATGCATGGCTGACACCTTAGCTATACACCCCACCCTGGAAGGCAGAGGCGCAGACTCACCCCAACATATCACCCTACTGGGGTGCAGCACCAAGGCCATGCTGTGTGGCTGACCCTCTCTAAGCCTCACTTCCCTGGGTTTTACCATAACAGTCCTCAGCTCAAGAGAAAAGATCACAGGCGGTAACACATGCCAGTGTCCATGTAAAACCTGCCTGCAAGAATTTTAAGAACTAGGCCCTCCCTGGTGGCGCAGCGGGTTAAAGCACTGCACTAAGAAGCTTAAGCGGGTTAAAGCACTGCACTAAGAAGCTTAAGCCACTTCCGCATGAGTTCTATCTCCACCTGTCCCAAGGAGATCCACATGGCGTGGTGGCAGACCTCTCCTGACCCGCCTGCTGCTCCCCTCAGCAGTGTACTTCGATCTGCCTGTTCTGTTCCCCACTCTGTCTCTGGTGAAGCCTCTCGCCGCCCCTGCATGCCTCTGGCCTTTACCCCAGTTCTGTATGCACAAATAAATAAATCTTTAAAAAAAAAAAAAAAGGAAAAGAATTTAAGAACTAGTTGCTGCTGCTGAATGTCTTTTTGGCAACAGCACAACAAACAGCACTTACTAAATCCTCAGATGTCTGCTAGATGAGCAAGAAAAAAAATTGATGTAGATAATAAATATGCCCCATTTGGGATCCTGACAGGGTTCCTATAAGTACCACTGGGGAAGTACTGAGGCAGAAAAGACGAGTTAGGGGCCTCCCTGGTGGCTTGTGGGGAAGTCTCAGCGCTACCACCACGAAGGCCCACTGCACAGCCTGAGTTTCATCCCTTTCCAGGGAGCTGATCCACACAGCACAGCAGACCTCACCTGTCTCCCGCTGCTCCCCTCAGCAGTGTATTTCAATAGCTCCACCTGTTCTGTTCCCCACTCTTTTTCTGGTCCATCCACTCACCCCTCACCCCCAGCACCTGTGGCCTATACCCCAGTTCTATGCCCAAAAAAATATATTTTTTTAAAGAAAAAGACTATTTCCCAAACCCTGGAATTGAAAATATTGAATATGATTTTTTTTCAACTTTCCAACAGGAAATGCATTAGCCAGATACCCTGACTGGGGAGTGAAGAGTCTTTTTTTTTTTTTTTAAGATTTATTTTATTTATTTATGCATACAAGAATTGGGCTTTAGGCCAGAGGTGGAGGTGGTGAGAGGATTCACCAGAGACAGTGGGGAGCAGAACAGGCAGAGCTACTGAAATACACTACTGAGGGGAGCAGGGGGGAGACAGGAGAGGTCTGCTGGGCCACATGGGTCAACTCCCTGGCTGGGATCTAGCTCAGAGCAGGTGATAGCTTCAAAGCTCTGAGACTTTAACCCCTGCACCACCAGGGAGGCCTGTGAGGGGAACTCTTATACCTGTGTCCCACCATTTTCAGTATCCCATAAACAATATTTTGACAACTGGGTATGTAAAAGGGTTGGAGTCAGGGGTGAAATACCCCAGACGAAGGAGATGAAGTCGGACTCTCAGTGTGGGGGGCATTTCCGAGTGTCCAGCACAGCGCCTGGCACTGGGCCTAAGGAACACTGGCCACCAACGAAGAATGCCCGCTCCCTCCTTGAGAGCAGTAGCCCCTCCATCCCAGCCCATCACCTTGGCTCTGGCTGTGCTGCTCCATGATGCTCCTGAGAAGGATGACAAGGTACTGAGCTCTGGCCTTCAGTCTGAGAATGAGCTTCTTCCAAGCCTCTGGGTTCTTAGACTGGGCCCAGGGTGCCCGGGGCTCTGCCCACCTGCCCCCTCTGCAGCACCACAGGAAAGGCTGGTCATCCAAGTAGCCTGAGAATTCATAAGGGGCTTGCCCAGCACTGGGCTGGGAAAGAGCAATGAAGTCATAGCGCATAGAATGGGTTGCTGAGGGGAGAAAATGATGGCAAAGAGTTATCCCCTCCCTTCAAGGGGAGATAATCCCACCAGACTCCTGCAAGAAGACAAGGGCTGTTTTCTGGAAACCAAAAGGGTGGGTCAGGGGAATGGGGAGGGAAACTCGGGTTTCCCTGGGGAATCTCAGTTTTCAGCAGAAGGAGTTCCAGCAGGAGGCCTCTGTGTGTGGCCCTCTGTGTCCTGCCTCCCTCCGGCTATATCTGAAGACCTACCTCAGCTGTAATGGCCCACCTGAGCATTTGCTCTCAGGCCCCACCCTGAGCCAACCCTGCCCTCACCCTATAGTCCTGGGAGGCATCACCTTCCAATCCTCCTGCTCACTGGAGTGAGAGCTGGGGAGGGCTGGACACAGCCCGATGCCTGGGAGCTGGAGCAGCACCAGGAAGCTTTCCCAGAGCCATGGCACAAGTGGTTTATCAAATGTGATCCGCGCAGGATAGGCAAAAGGGAAACGATGAGGAGGCTCACGCTTCGGGCAAGCTGGGAGGATCACACACCTGAACTCTGGGTGTGTGGTGCCTCAATCCTCCCCAGAGCACCTCCTGAATGGCGAGCCCCAGAGGCTCACGTATTCAGGCATCACGAGGCTGCACTGCCCACCTGACCCCTCTCAACCTCAGCGCACACAGCCACGTGCCACCCACTTATCTGTGAGGAACTGGTCTCGCAGACGCCAACTTACTCATCTATAAGTAACACAGGGCTCCTCTGGCCCATTAGTTTTCTTAGCACAGCTGGCTGTTCCCAAACAATCAGCCAGGAGTTTGCCATGAGTGTTTTTCTAGACTGCTGCCTCCCAGTTAGCTACCAAGACAATCCCCCACCCCCACTTCTCTGAATCTGGACATTCCCTCTGCCCCTACTGTCAACCTATAGCATGATAGCATGGAGGACACTCAATCTTTCCAAAGGGTTTTTCTCCCTCCAGTGTTAACTGCTTAAAACCCATCCTTGATATCATCAGTGATATATCTAGAAACAAAATACATCCTCTACACAGCCTCTGCTGCTCCTTCAAGGTTAACCTTTGTCCCAGGAGCACTTCCAGGCCCCGACAGGCTGACTTCTCCGCCCACAGCCCTCATCTACAGCCACTCCCTGCCTTCTGCCTTCTCAGCCCTGGGGAAACAGGAATGGCCCAGCATCTCCCAGCTACTGCTGCTGTTCCATCTCCCAGTGCCTTCCAGGGGCTTCCATTCTCCCTCCTCCCTCTTACCCTGACCTCAAACCCTCTACCAACTGCCATACCCCTTCATTTCAGAGATGACCTCTGACTCTTAGAACTATGGTTAATTGACAACCATAACTGCCTCTGTTTGTCCCTAACAGGCTTCCCCTTTTCTTGCTGAAACTGAATTCCTGGGTCTCACTTGATCCCTAGGCTGTTCTCCAGCCAGCAGAGAAAACCCTTTCCTGAGTGCCCCTCAGAGCTGTAGGAGGGTACAATGCAGAGCTCCCCAAGCTTGCCAGAGACAAGGGTCACCTGGGTTGTTTGTTTCCAGGAATTTCCTCCCCAGAGTCATCTCAGGATGGTTGGATGAGGCCCAAGAATCTGCATTTTGGGGCCTCCCTGGTGGCCTAGGTTAAGTCTCACACTACCACTGTTGGTGATCTGAGTTTGATCCCCAGCCAGGCAAGTGACCCACAAGGTACAACAGACCTCTCGTCTCACCTGCTGTTCCCCTCAGTAGTGTATTTCAGTGGATCTGCTTGTTCTGCCCCCCACTCTGTCTCTGGTGAAATCTGTCACCCCTCTCCCCCAACCCTGCACCTCTGGCCTGTACCCCAGTTGTGTGTGTGTGTTTTGTTTATTTATTTATGCATACAGAACTGGGGTACAGGCCAGAGATGCGGAGGGTGAGAGGATTCACCAGACACAGAGTGGGGAGCCGAATAGGCTGACTGACAAAGTACACTGCTGAGGAAAGCAGCAGGCGGGTCGGGAGAGGTCTGCTGGGCCATGTGGGTCAGCTCCAGGGCTGGGGATAGAACTCACCACGCAGCAGCTGCCACACGCTTGTTGTTTTTTAACCAGCTGTGCCACCAGGGAGGTCCACTTTTTTTTTTTAAAGATATATGTTTTATTTATTTATGCGTACAAGAACCTGGGTGTAGGCCAGAGGTACAGAGGGCTAGAAGATTCACCAGAGACAGAGCGGGGAGCAAAACAGGCAGATCCATTGAAATCTACTGCTGGGGGAGCAGCGGGTGAGACCGGAGAGGGCTGCTGCGCCATGTGGGTCCGCTCCCTGGCAGACTGGGATTGAATTGATGCTGCAGTGGCTGATGAGAGCTTGAAAGGGCTGAGACTTAACCCCTGTGCCACCAGGGAGGGCCCAGTTGACTGTTTTAAGGAACTAGCAACACCAACCGTCTCAGAATAGCACAAGGAGAGCAAGGGCCTCCAACAGCTTCCCTGCAGGTAGCCAGTGCTGGGCGGCTTTCCTGCCTTTTAAACAAGAGGAGGCTCTTCTGTTACGTTTCCTCAGCTCTTGCTCTGGTCTTGGCCTCAGCCAAGAGGTCACCAGCCATCTCTAGAAGTTAAATCCCCCCACCCTTTCCTGGCCTGTGACCCCGGATTTCTTTCCTTCCGGTCACTGTCCAGTTTGGAGCTGACTCCTCTCCTCACGCCTCCCTTCTGACTCCAGTCCCAGGGTTTTCTGGGTCACTCCCTCCAGCGCCATCTTCTGCTCACTTTCCAAGTTCTGCCTGGAGAAAGCCCCTGGCCCCTAAGGAACCTCTATTGGTTTTGTGCCCGCAGCTCCCACCTTCTCCTCCACACTAGTCCTAAGGCGTCTTTTCCAGACACAAACCCCATCCCTTTACTGCCCTGTCTGAGATCCTTGCACAAGCCTCTCCCGCTGCCTTCAGAGACACATCAATTTCTTGGAATGCTCCCATGACACAGGGCCTTGCCCAGGACTCAGAATCAGACAGACCTGGTTTGACAGCCCTCACTTAGTGCATACCAGGAGCATGAAGTTAGGGAAATTACATAACTTGTAAGCCTCTCTCTCCATCGTTAGCCTGGGAAAATGAGATCTACCATGGATGGAGATGGCTGAGAT